TAACACAAACTTTCAAATATATCTTTTTCCATATTGTAATGAAGTTGCATTGATCAGATCCTTGATTTACTAAGGATGCATACTGTATTGTGCTTTCTTTATGATTATTTGATTAATAATTTGTTTTCCCCAAGAAGCATTTAAGAATGTTTTTGTGTTTCTTTTTAATACCATTTTCTTTAGATTTACCTGTGTATTTATCCCTTTGATCATAGATGTTTTTATTTATTTTTCATTAATCTGTCTTTATTCCCAAAACATTTGCACAACAGCTAATCCTTATTTGTTTTAGTATCTATATACATGTACAGTGGTGGAGCCCACAGTATCTGCTATGTATCTTTCACAAATATACATATATCAGGGCTGACTAATATATTTCAGCTTTATTTATATAAGGATTGCCAATCTGTTACCCACAATAAAAATATTTAGGTTGTTAAAAAAAATTGCATATTTGAACCTTATACATATTCAGCATCCCCTAATTTCTGAGTGATTTTGAGAACAAAACTTTATAGATAAGCCAACTTTTAACCACTTATTTCTTTAAACTAACAAGTTGATCATTTGTATATACCACTCCATGTTATGTGACTGTGTTTTTCCCTGAAAATTATGTAAGCATCCTTTTTACATGTTTTGAGCTAACAGACATTTAGATTAGTAGCCTACTTATGATAGGGTGGGTCTATAGAGGTGGGACATCGAGAAACAAACAAAACAACACATTGTTCCTGTTTTTGTTTTTCCAGTAGAAGTGGGCTTTTTGATTAAAATTTGGATGCATGTAAGTGGCTCTTCTGATGTGCTGAGGGGAGTATTTTAGTTCTTCTTCCCTTGGTACAGGTGCATAAGTGTGAGTGTGTGTGACTGAGCGTGTGTGTCGCTCCCACAAAACTCTGTGGCTCCCCACTGGGATCATAATGAAGACAAAGCACACTGGTCACTGTTGATTCAGCACCAAGAATCCTCTCACTTTTCCTGTCTTAACTCTTCCTACATCTGTCATCATCCAATTGTTTTGAAAAAGCAGATTATCAAAGACAGGATTTTTCTAAGTTTAATCACTCAGTGCAAGTTTTAATTTTTTCTCACATAAACATTTTATTTTGTAAATAAGATGGAAACAAATGCTTAGTTAAAGTGTACCCAGCGTTCTATCTTTCTAACTAACTATATATTTTTGTCTCCCTCCCTGCACCTCTGCATATGGCAGGGCTATCTTTCCCATAGTAGCTCTGACCTTGTCAGCCGTGAATAGATGGCTCTTCACCACAGTTCATCCTTCCTCACTCCTCGTACCCTAGCCCACACACACATGAACCCTCACACACTCATACAGATACAGTTGCTCAGACACGGCTTACCAAAAGGCTCTAAGTCCCTCTGACAAAGACAGAGATGCAGTGTTCCAGGGGTCAACATCATTGTTCTTGTCATAGCTGGCTTGGTACTTTTTGATTTTTGTGTGTGGGCTTGTGTATTTCTATGAGGACGGCAATGCCTTTGTGTACAAACTTTAAAGAACAAACATTGGTTTCTGTGCTAATATAAGTAGGTGCTATTATCCAGCTCTCCAATTGAGATTGCAGGTATGGAAACAGTGCTTGAAATCAAAAATTCTTTGGTGCTAATGATCCAGATTACAATCTGCTAGTGTGTATTTGTTTAAATAAATAAAAAGTTCTGTCCTTGCAAAACTAGCTGTACACATAGAAGGAAAAAAAATATTTTTAGTGAGGAACGGTTCTCTTTTTGCAGCTGGGTTAGGTGTGGGGCTATGTCATGAATAGATTTTAGGTTAGGTTAAGCTATGTATTGGTAATGGTTAGGTTTAGGGTAGGGGTCAGAGTTAGGCCATAGAAATGAGTGGGAAGGGAATTGAAGTAAATGGAAGGTCCCCACAAGGATAGAGTGACACAGCGTGTGTGTATGCATTTTTCTTTTGTCCTGTGTCGCCCTGTGATGTACTAGTGACCTGTCCAGGGTGTATCCCATCTCTCAGTCATGAATGCTAGAGATAGGTACCATCTCCAAGTAGTTACAGATAACGAATAGAATGATAAATGGAACAAATGTCTCTTTATTCCAGGTTGTAGATCCTTGAACGTTGCTGCCATTGCTGATTTCTACATATCTAAGGGATATTTTTTTTTTTTATGCGGGCCATCCAAATACAGAATTAATTAAACTATTACTTTGATTATTTGATTAATTATTTAATTATTTATTGAATTCTTGAATTTTTATATCTTAGAGGTAAGAATAGACTTCTTTTAAACTAACTAATTTCTTTTTATTAATAAAATCCGTAGAATGATTTGTTTTTTTAAATCTAACATTCAGTTTTAAAAATGTTATCTAGCAGTAAGCTATTGTCTAAATAACTAGTTTGTTAATGCAGTAAAAGAAAGAATTAGGTTTTACTTGATACAACCGTTTCTTACTTTAGACTTCCTTCCCTTCCCTCTCTGTTGTCTCAGTCTTAAAGTGGCTTAAATAGGAAAGTGTTATTAGCATATAGAGTAGATACAGAGTCCTCTGACTTGAAGCTTTGGTCTCTTAATTAAGAGACTGGCAAAGGACCACTGTGATTTGAATAATTATTACTGAGACTGTCAGTGATTTATCTCTTTCAATTTGGAAGCAATAAGACAAAGTTTTTGTTTGTTTTAAAATGCATGCTCAGTACAACAGATATCCTAGTGCTTCTATAACAATGCTGGAGTTTGTACATAGATTGTGATTTTTTTTTTTTATATTTGTCTATCAACCATTGGGGTTTCAAGTACGGGTGGATGAATAGAAGGATGGATAAAAGTTTTCTTAATGAAGATTAAATTGAAGTAGAGTCCTCTTCAGCTTTAGATGTTTGTGTCCCTACTGCAGGACTTTTTTAGGACAGTCTCTGTGAGCTTGAAACTTTGCAGAAAGATTCTAAAAAAGTACATTACAATTCAAGGTAAACATGAAATGACCAGTAGGGGAAAAAGGAGAACAAACTATGACCTTTGGAAATTATTGTGCTTAAGGACTGGAAATATAGCATGCAAAACCGATGATTAACATACAACATCTTCGTCTAATTCTGATACCATCATCCATGGAGAGAGCTTTGTGATGACAGATTTTTATTTTAACTTCTATAACCCAAACGGGCACCACAAAAAAGAATTCCTGCAAATTTATTATTACTTTTTGGCTTTTTTACAAAATTTTGCTCTTAATTTTGCATAAAACTTTCTAATTGCGTTGTTGAAATATTTTAAAATGTTAATTTGTCTGACTTAATGAATTGAAATAAGAGATTCTCAAACCTAAGGCTTACCTAAAGTTTAAAATTCCTACATTAACATAGTTGCAGTTGTTACCTAAACTTTAATAAGTACCATGTTTCTAGTACAAATTGTAAATTCATAGACCCTTTATCTAAGGGTTCTCTCTAGTTGCTAACTTCTGTTTCTGTTTTTTTTCTTCTTTTAGATTCCTGGGGTGTTTCACTCTCAGCCCGGGATGGAACTTCTTTTGAGGCAAGTTAGGTATCATCCCTGTACCAGCCAGCCTCACACAGACAAAACTCCCGGGAGTGTTTGTGAATCAGTGAGAGTTAGTTTCTCTGGTTCGCTACAAAACAAAGGAACAACTCCACCAGAACCTGGGACTTGAGGACCAGTCTACCTGACTGGTCCGCAAAGAACAAAAGTGCATGTATGTCAAGAAAATGGGAGCGTTATTAGCAAAAGCTGTTTAAGAATCAGTATCTACATGTGCAAAAATGTCAATTTGTTGCTCCAAGTTTTTAAAATAAAGCTCCTCCAATGTTCTCACGTTACATGATGTTTAACACAAAAGCTGAACTAAGGCCAATATTTGTTTAATTTTATTAACAGCACTTGGAACATTAGTAAGGACACAATTCCAGAAACATTTTGAAGATTTTGTGTTACGATTAGTTTTGCCATTAAAGGATCATAACATTAAGATACATTGTGTGAGCACAGTTAAGGTGTTTGTGCTTTGTTTGTTTATATTAGTTTGTTCTCAGGGCAGGAAGTCCCTGTTTTCTTTCGTTTGCCCTCTCCCCTTTAGATCAGGCCCCTATATCCCTGGTGTGATAACTATCTAGTGGTGATGAATAAGGTTGAGGTGCTGGCTGTGGAAGTGGTCAGACCAGGCCACTGATCCCATAGCGATAGGAGCAAGGACAGGGTCCCTGTCCCTTCCTCTATCGCTCCCCCTCATGCTCTGAACTCTTTTTGTTTTGAAGCAAAAAAGAACTGAAGGTCATCTTAAACAAGGAAAAACTGTTTAAGTTAACCAGTTTAGCAAAAACGTTAACTGTCATCCTTAGATGAAAATCTAATAAGAGTTAGATATTAAAAATATAAAAATATTTTCTCAGTGTTTGTAGCTGGAAACAAAGATAAAAAAACATGCTTTTTGTTTTATCATATCTCCACAGAATCACTGCACAACATAAAAAAACAAAATTTTAAAGAAAATATTCTTCCATTTTTCATGCACTTTATAAATGTGTAAAGTAAACCTCTGAGAGGGGAAAAAAAAACAACCTTTAGGATTCTTCTGTTTAAAATAATTGTTTTGTTTTCTTTCCAAGGAAAGAGTAACAATTATAAAAACTTTAGGATAAATATTGGTAAATAAGAACAATAAAGGATAGAATGCATGCTAGATAAAAATTTGAATTAGGAAGACAAAAAAAATAAGCTCATTAAAAAACTATTTTCTATTCATCTTTGGGTGTCCATTCGTAGGGTGTCCAACTTCCAATGGTTTTAATAACTTTGGGCTGAAATGTAAAGAATCAGTTATGCTGGAAGCACGTAGGGCAGGGGTGTCAAACTGGTTCCAGAAAGGGCCGTGTGGCTGCAGGTTTTCTTTCCAACCAAGCAATAGCACACCAGACTCATGTCAACTCATCAAGTGAGTCCAATTAGAACATGATGACTTGATGAGATGACATGAGTCTGGTGTGCTATTGCTTGGTTGGAAAGAAACCCTGCAGCCACACGGCCCTTTCTGGAACCAGTTTGACACCCCTGACGTAGGCAAATAAGATGCAGGGGCTCAATGTCAGCAGGTTTTATACTCCGTGTATATTTATGGGCCAAATCGTAAGATGCCTCTAAATGTTTATGTTTGCAAACCCTTAACAATAGAAGCTGTCGCTCGTCCACCATGTTTTTCTTTCTTGTCCTTATTTGCTGCTGATTGGGTGAATCCGGTAGATGGTGACAAGACATGTTTTGGAAGCTGCTTTTGTCATGATCTGCTCTGATAGCTGTCTTTAATTGATTATCTCACTCACCTGCCTAGTTTTGCCCAGTTCCTAATTATCTCTGATCTTTATCCACCTGTAGGTGATGACTTATATTTGGTCCAGCCCAGCTATCAAGGCCAGATCATTGTTTGAGTTTCTTTTTGTGTCCTGTATGTCAGTTTTGTTTGGTTAGATTTATTTCCAAGGGTCCTGTCCCCGGTTCCAGTAGGAGATTACTCTTGAGCCCTTGTCTTCAGGTGAGGTATTTCCCTAACCAATGGGGAGAGTGTTTCAGTGTTTCCCTATGGGTTCTGTTTTCCTGGCCCTGTCTGTCCCTGTCTGATCTGTTCGTCTGAACTACAGTTGGACTCCTCCTGGCTTCTGCCTCCCAGGTGCGTTTCTGTCTGAGTTGGATGCTTGACGCACGCGACTCTGAACCTGCCTTCACGCGCTGATGGATTCTCGGAACCCAGATCTGTCCGTTCCTGAGTGGAATCGGAACCCCTGACCGGACTGCAGATTCCTTGATTCCACTGCTACTCCAGTCTGATCTGAATCCCTGACCTGGATCGGAGTCCTGCCTCTTCACTGGGGTTGTTGCATCAGGGATCTTGTTGGCAGTACATCAGCTGATCCTGCCTATCATTGAGAGGATGGACTGAACTGTTAAACCAGAGTGTCAGTGTTTGGGCGGCCCCCCTCCTGCAGTCGCTACAAGTCCGCAGATCTTCAGAAGCTCGTTTATGTTCTGTTTTGTTTATGTATTAATAAACATTTAAAACTTTCCTACTGGCTGTCTCACCTTGAATACTGGGTCCATCTGTGCCATTTATGACAGCTTCAAGCAGTGAAACTGTTGAAGTGGAAGCCACCTGCTGAACAGCTGCGAGCAAGTTTTTGAAAGAAATTTTAAAAAATGCCCTTGTTATCCATGTTGCCCATATTAATTTAGTATGGGAAGTTAATAAATTAAAAAAGGAAATGGAAAAGGAAATTTTATTAAGCAAATAAAAAGTTGTTTCTTTTTTTTTTTTTCTTTTTTCATTATTGGTTCCATTTGATTGATGAATGATGCATTTTCCCCAATAACTTTAGGGCTCAGAAATTAGCTTCTTCGATGATTGAAAGTTACTGTTTATCTAAAAGAACCCCTCCTAACGTTTATAACCAGGTTGATCATGACCAGGTTTTTATACATTTTAATCTCCTACTGGGGATTTTTAACTCATTAGTGCCTTTAGGCAGCATGAAATGATCCAAATGCAAGTCAAACCACAACGAAAAAAATTTAAATCTTTTTAGATTTTAGTGAAATGTCAAAAACTGCACACTACACAAACCACTCCAGACATGTTGGTGCCTCCTATGCATTGATTGTTGTACACAAGAACAAGAACACATCTGTCAAAAAGTCCTAGCACTCTTGATCTTACTTAAATGAGGTCAAGAAGAGATGTAACTTTTAGTAATTGTGAAAGGGAGAAATATCTAGAACTATTAAACTTCTATATGATTTCTCTGAGACTTCATATTCACAGTTACAATGCATAAATAGTTTTGATTCAAAATCACCATATGAAACAAGCTCTCCCATGAGCAACACGCCTAAATAAGGAAAAGTAAGTTTTAAAATTTATAATGCATGGTTTTTAATAAAATTACAAAAAAATATTTTTGTAAACTGTCTTTCTATAGTGAAATTGGTTTAGGAATATAGGATTAGGTCCAGTCTCAACATTAAAAATGAGTCATTGAGGCGCCCTGTCACTTAATTATGGAAAAAAAACATTATAAAACATGCTTATGAAATATATATTCTTTAAAGACAAGATGAGATTTTATACAAATATAGCATTTAAAACCCCTCACATTCTGTTCATTTTGAGCAGTGTTCCATTCTCTCTCTACTTAAGTTCAAACTCTTGAGTTTTAATTAAGAACTGTGTGTGGGTGTCTTCACTGAAACACTTTAGTATAAACTCATTACCACTCACAAGCTAATCTACTGCACTGTGTGTTTAAGTCTGAAGTGCAGTTATTAACCCAACGTTTGATCTGTCGCTCACAATAATTTCCCTGAATACACAATTAAAGACCACGCTTGTCTTGCCACTCCAAGCCTTCAGATTTTTTCCTCCACCGCCATCACATGCACTCAGCAGTGATATTTTATTATTGTAACTACATTTCATTTGGTAATATCCATAATGTGAAGACTAATCCTAGTTTTTAGCAAGACTTATGATTAATTATCTTAATAATCAATAGCAAATAAGCAAAAGCATTTTTACCCTGCAAGTCTTCAGTTATTTAACTGTTCTACAATGAGAATCATGGGCTATAATACCAGTAAATGAGTAGTCATAAGGAAACACCCTGTGAAATATATATATATATATATATATATATATATATATATATATATATATATATATATATATATATATATAGATTAAATAAAATTTTTTTTTAGAACAGTTGAACAATAGATTTCTTTTAAAGATTTTGGCAAAAGTATTTACAGTGAGGCCCAAAGAGTAGACAAAAACAAAAAGTTTATTTGCTCCTACTTTCTCTACACAAATTTAAAAAAGGAGAAAAAAAGAAAGTTGGAAACATGTATTACACAGACAGGGTTTATTTAAACCTACGCCTTCTCTACATTAAATCCAGATGAGGTGCCTTGTCATAAAGCCTCTGCAGATACAGCTTTCAACCCAAGTGGTGACATCCGACAGGTTAATTAACATACCTGGATTTTGTTATGAAGACACAATCCCCCCCACCCATAAGAAAATATAAAAAACAAAGGCAGTACAGCTGAAACCTCCAAGTTGTGTTGTGCAAATTTGTCAAAAGTGACAGCTATTTAATAAATCATCACTTTCCATCACACGCATATGCACACCCACCCACACAGGAGCACACGATTCACAGCTTGCCCTCTACTGCCCGATCTACATGTATACGTAAATGAGGTGTAAGCATGGGCCTGTGTGTATGTGTGTGTACGCGATTGTTAGAGAGGGAATGTGTGAGCATGGGCCCTGCAGTCGGGTCCAGGCATTAGGTAATTGACTGTGTCTTTGCTCAAGGCCTTTCATGGATCACCATCCTTTATTAGCTCACTTCCCAGCACACACACACACACACGTCCAAAGTTCCCAGCAGCTCCACCCCAACCCCTTACCCCCCACCATCAGCACCCAGACCCAATTGCCCGGAAAAGAGTAGTGAAACAAGAGAGAGCAAGAGAAGCATGGGAAGAAGAAGAGAGCAGCGACTGGGGAATGAACTAACACGGCCCGAGGAAGTGGCAATAAATAAGCATGAGAGCTTAGTTGGAGGATGGGTGGGGTCTCCTCCAGCTGAAAAGAGGGATTGAGAGAAAGCCCAATGCATTTTACAGACTCTGCAATATTCAGTGTTTATAAAATTATTGGCAAGGTTATACATTTATTTAGAAGATTGTAGATCTGCATGTGTAGAAATTAACTTTAACATGCATTTCCTAAGTTACAGATCTTAAAGCCCTCGGACAAAATCCCATCCATCAGAGCAATTTTTGGGGGCCTTAGGAGCCAACAAGGGCATATCATAATGTAGAGACATGTTCTTTAAAAATGTACAAAATGTACACCCAAAATAGAAGCAAGTAAAATTATAATACTACACCAGTACAAACTTTCTGAAGGAAATGATCAATTCAAGAGTAGAATTAAAATAGCTGCAACTGCCCTTTTAAAGACTTGATAATAGCGAAGTGGCCAACATAAAATTAGTTTAATATCTTTGAAGAGAATTGTTGTAACTGCAAAAATATTTTCGTTAAACATCCAAACACATTGGATTTTTTGGGAGAGCAAAATTATAAGATCCAAAACCAGGCCTCAGAGTGGAGAATCATATATGGAAAAAAGTTCAGTCCAGTCTAGATATCAAGACATCGGCATAATGATGAGTTATGATAGAAGTAGCAAAAAAGACAAAATTTTGTTACTCACTAAGTGGGAGCATTGGCTTCACAATGACAAAATTAGTTTAGCTGCTGTACGTCACACCCCATAGACCTAAATTTATTTTCGCAAACTATTGATTGTTTTACATAAAAAGGATCCCTCCATATTTTTTCAGAGTTATTATATTATATTTTCTTTGTTTTAATGTAAAAATAAAACAACTTTTGCATTTAGGACAGTCAGCAGGAGCAAGATACATACAATGAGTGAAACAAGTATTGAACACACCACCATTTTTCTCAGTAAATATATTTCTAGAAGGTTATTGATATGACATTTTCACTAGCTGTTTGTAACAATCCATGGAATCCATACATATAAAAAAAAAATCAAATGATAGATTTCCACAAATTAAGTTATTTTAAATAAAGTGAAATGACACAGGGAAAAAGTATTGAAAATGATTACAGAAATGTATTTAAGCCTTTGTTGGCAATGACAGCTTCAAAACGCCTTCCTGTATGGAGAAATTAGTTGCATGCATTGCTCAGGTGTGATTTTGGCCCATTCTTCCACACAAAAAGTTGCAAAATCTTGAAGGTTTCTTGAGCCTCTTGTATTACTCTGATCTATAGTTCTTTCCAAAGATTTTCTATTGGCTTCAAGTCAGGTGATTGGCTAGACCATTCTTGTAACTTTATTTTGTTCTCTCAAACTAACTGAGAGTCTCCTTCACTGTGTGTTTGGGGTCATTGTCTTGCTGAAATGTCCATCAACGTTTCTGTCATGATTGCAGCTCCGGTAGCTGATCTGATTTCTCACCTCATTCACCTGCCGTTCCCTCACTGTTCCCTAATTATCATTAATCTTATTCACCTGCTCCCTCTGCTATATATACGATTAAGCCCAGCTATCGGGGCCAGATCATTATTCTTGTATTCTTTTTTTTATTCGACTATTCTTTGTTTATTTGTGTTATGTTTTTGTGTCAGGTATTTATGTTTGTTTCATGAGAATTAAGTCCCTGATTCATGTCCTGAGACTTGGAGGCCAGTGGATTGAGAGGGTTTTGTTTTTTGTCTCCTGGTCGCGTCCCGGTTCTTCTGCGCGGAGCCCTGAGAGTTTTGGCTCGGAATGCAGGAAATGTCAGTTTTAAATCCCGTAAGCCTGGCTCCAAGGTGGAGACCAGTTTAAAGTTCGGCATTTATCCTGGTACCAAGTCTTGTGTATGGTCTTCTCTATCACTGAGCCTGCCTGTTTTCATCTGCGCATGTCTGTATGAGCGCGCCGCTGGACTCAAAGAATACTGAACCTTCATTCACAATCTGAGGTTTCCTGGAACCCTGGATCTGTCTGTTCCTGTTCGGATCGGAACCCCTGGTCAGGCTACTGACTCTTGGATGCTGGAACTGTCCGGTTCTGAACCGGTTTCTCTGACCTGGATTGGTCTCCTGCCTGCTCAGTGGAGTTGCTGTATCAGGGACACTTTGGACAGCTCTGTGCCGCATCTCAGCCTTTGCCGATTATCCTCGGCATCTGTTCTGTTCAACCTTATTATTACTTTGTCATTAAACGTTTTGAAACTTCCCATTGTCTGACTCAGCTTGAATACTGGGTCCATGTGTCCTGTTTATGACAGTTTCATCTTCATCATCCTGGTTAATGGCAGCAGATTTTTATTAAGAATGTCACTGTATATTTTTAAAATCATCCTTCCTTTAATTATTTGAAGTTTGCCAGTACCATATGCTGAAAAACAGCCATATGCTATGATGTTCCCACCTCCAAACTTCACTGTTCGTATGGTGTTTTGGGGGGGATATGCA